TAGACCATATGGTAATTCTATGTTTTCCACAGAGGTCACACAATTTTAAATTCCTATCAGCAATGCACAAGGGCTCTCACCAATAGTTGTTTTGAGGTTTTCTTGGATAATAAGTATGCTGATGTATATGTTTTCCAAAATTATAAAGTTCGATTTTCACTGTTAGGTCTTCGTTTAGTATGCACATTTTTGTGTAAAGCATAAAGTAAAAATCTAATATTAGTTTTCCCCCCATAGAGAAAGCTCCTTGCTTCAGCAGGCCTCTCTTTCCCCATCAATTTGTAATACTATCTCTATAACAAATTAAGTTCCCATATAAACATAAATCTATTTCTGGGCTTTCTATTTGATTAAACTGATCTACCTGGCTATCTCTATACCAATATAACACTCCTTGAGTCATATATCATTAACATATATTTTGATATTGGCTAGAGCAAGTTTCATTTTCTCTTCTAAGAATTTCTTGCTATTCTTGGATTGTTTTCTCCTATATGAATTTTAGAATCAGATTTCTAATTCCATGAAAATTCTAGTTGGTATTTTTATTGGAACTACACTGAATTTATGATTAATTGGAAAGAACTGGAATGTGAAATTAAGATACCTCTTCCATAAAAATGGTGTTATTTTTTCATTTATTCCAGTCATTTTTCCCCATTGCTATGTTAAATTAATCCTTTCTCTAAAACATTAGACTAAAACCTAAAAGACAAATAATGAACATTTTTCCTCCAAGGCACATAACAGTAAACCAAAAAAATTGTTATTAGCTATAGATACAAAATTCACATACTGTATAAATTCATGAGTTATAACAAGTAAAATAGATCATATCCAATTCATGAAGTTATTTTTTTAGGTCTAGCCACTTGAAATAATTCTTCAAAATGTAGCTTACATCCCACCACTTTCAGAAAACCTTCTCTGCTCTCTCATCTACAATATTTTCCTTTATTTTTGCATCAGGAATTTACTGAGGTCTGTATCAGAGAGCTGCAAACTCATCACTTTCAGGCAACGCGTGGCCTGTGTAAGTGTGCTTAGTTTAACCTATACCAGGTTTCTTAAAAACTGGAGACCAAAAAAATTAGGGCATGTCGCATAAAAATCACAGGATTTCTGACTTGCAGGTTATATCTCATACTTTCTTCTCAGTGATCTATCTATGACAGTGTCTATCTCCATGCTTCCTTGATTACCAGGGTAGGCAAATTACACACTGATTCTTACAGCTTCCACCTAAAAGTGACCTGTTAATTTCTAACCCACATTCCATTGGTCAAAGCAAAATCGTGGTCAGACTAACTTTAAAAACAATGAAAAAGTAAAATCCTACAATGTGCCTAGAAGGTAAAAAGTCAGAAATATTTCATATCATTGATGACTTTGCCTTCAATCTCTTCCCTTCTACCTAGTCTCCAAACTACCAATAGAATTACTTCTCAGAAACAGACTGAATTATCTCACAACTCTGCTAAAAAAATCTTTATGAAACTATAATGTCTACATGATAAAAAGTAAAAATCACTAAGAATGGCATTCAACATCTTTCATAATCTACTCCAAAGTCTTTGACCAGCTATTTTTTACTATTATTTCCCCTCATATCGCCTATTCTCCAGCCTTTCTGAATATGTCTTGGCATATATCCCAAAATTTAGTTCAAATATCATCTCCTCAATTCAAGTCCATGTTTCCTTTTTTTTGTGGAAAAAAATTTAACCCTACATCCACTGTACTTACAAGCCACATTACTTATAACGAGCACTAGTATTCACTCATTCAAAGTATTTAATATGTGGCAGGCACTTAAAACATAATTGCCATATAACTACTAGAATGTAAGGTCCCTAGATTAAATAACTATGTTCTTGCTTACCCTGGAATTCCCTGTAGCAACACCCAACACATAGAAACTCAAAATATTGGTCTAAATTCAAATACAAGACAAGATAAATGACACTAACATTTTATTTAAGTTTCATTTATTTTTATGCTTACTTTGACTGTTTCTGAAGCTAAAATGAACCCAAAGACTTGAACTAAAACTTTTAGAGACTGGAGACTATGTTTTAGCTATGTCTATCTCTTTGGTTTTGTCTTCTCTGCTCTTGGAAAAAGTTTAGTTGCCAAGACCTAAGTTGGGGTAGTTACAAAGATAATCAAGTTGCCAAATCACAGCAGTAAATGCTTTTAATTCAATCATCTCACTTTTTTTTAGTAATTTCAAGTCTGTAAGCACTTTGGCAAAGTAAATGTAAAAACACATTTGCAATTTAAAGCTATTTGTTTACAAATTCTAATAGTTCTAATAAAACATCTGTTTGTTTCTGCTTTAAACTACTGATAAGTTACATTGAAGTAGAAGACTGTTGACAGATTTAATGATTTTAGACTACCACTGTCCAAGTATTAACATCTAAGAATGCAAGATTTTAAAAAATGCAATATTAAAAACAATACAACTTTAAGTTGTTTGTAAGTATGGGCGCCATAATGAAGAACTAAAGGAAAAGTACCACAATAAAGCTAATGGAAGAAAAAGTTTTAAAAAAGACATTGTGAACAGTGTGAAATACTAGTCTAGTTGAAAAAGAAAAGTAGCCAAAAAGACTTGGCAATCTGAACAATTTCAGTATAGTATTGGAGAAGGCCAGAATATAATCTCAAGAGAGTCAATGGAAAAGAAAGTAGAATACGTTGAGTATAAGCTATTATTTCAGGAATTCTAGAATGAAATAGAAGAAAAGGTATAATGGCAGGATGCAGTGAAGTTCTGTTGTTTTTTGGATCCAGGAGACTTTTAAACATCTTTGTAAGCAGAGGAGGGGTATTGATGGGGATGAGCAAGGTTTCAAGAGAGGATAGGATCAGAGAATAAGTGGAAAGAGAAAAGAGAAAGGTTACTTCTACTCAGAGAAAGGTAAGAGTCCTTAGAATGGATAGAAAATCCTATTCTGCTCTTATTCCTATGTTTTAAAAGAGCCATTTGTAAACTTACCAGCAAGTTTTATGGAAACTATTTATGAGGAAATTCTACTTTTTCCATTAAGTAGTAAAATAATAACATTCTCCACTGATTTTTGTATTATATCTGCTTTTCTACTTTTTTGGCTGCTATAGATTATCTAATGGCAAGAGTGGCTATTATCAATCCAAAGATCTCTGAATTATTAAAAGATAATACACTTAACATTTCAGGTTGCAGAAGTAACATTGTAAGTATATGTCAAATTAGTCTAGAACATGAGTAGAATAAAATTTAAGGAAGAAAATTTAATCACTGAAAACCTATTCGATAAAGGAGCTATCACAGAAATTAGAACACTGCAAATTACTCCCTTGAGAGTCTGGGAATAATTGGGAAGATGAAACACATACATGAAATGAAAGACTCTCAAGTAATGTTTTTTAAGTTCAAATAAGAATACAAACTGAGGATACAAGGGTTGATTAAATGATCACAAACCAAGGAGAGGTTATTAAGCCAATACTTAGTTGTCCACTTAATGCAAAGGTTTGCAGTGGTCACTGAGATATGATGCAGCTCAATTTGTGGCCAGTAAAACCATTATTTCATGTCCAGCAGTTTCTCAGCATGGATTTCCAACATGGATATGTAATTTATTGCATCTAATGTTTAAGGAAAGTTATTTCGGTATTTAAATTTCATACAACTTCCCTTAAAGAATTCTACTAAAGCAACATCCTTACCTGTAATTTGCAGGTAAATCTACAGTACTTACATACCACCTCAACTCACTTCTGACACTTTTACATGCCTTAACATTGTTATTGCTACTTTCAGAATAAGTTAGGGAAATTCTAGAAGGTATCTAGAACATTTACAAAGTATGGAAACAGATTTGGAAGAGTCAAGTTCAGAGGTCCGTAGGGTTCTTAAGTGAATGAATTACATCTTACAAAATTAAAGAATCATGAATAAACAGGCAGACAGTAGAGGAACATGAGAATATTCAAAACTTAACAAAAGTAAATGAAAAATAACTGAAGCCTATGCAAAGATGCAATACAGAATCACAAAATGATTTCAACTTTCTAAAATATTTATTAGTCATAAACAGAGCTAATCAAAGAATTATTAAAAGTGCCTCTAAAACACTGAAAATTTCAAGAAATCGCAAACTGTTTCTTACACAAAATATAGACTACTTTGAGTGAATAAAGACAGTCATTGATAGCGCTATGGAAATGAGGAAAAGTTGGTAACTGTAAGGGTTCTAAAGGTGAGTTATAAAAATATTCCCAAAATTTGGTCATAAAACAATACATTAAAGTCTTAGAAAAGGAACAACACATAGTCATCCCTTTTGTTAATGGAGGACTGGAAAGATAATCAGTACAGAACTCAAAAGAGGCAGAAATTTCTTCTTTAGCTGAAAGCAGATAAAATACCCTGATAGAAATCTATCTAGAGGCCATTTGCCCAACAGCATAGAACAAGATAAATGATAATATTAAAACAACTGAAAACTCACTTAATTTTAATAAGAAAGTAAAAGAAATCATATATACCAAACTTATAGAGAGATATTAGTTATTAATTCAGCCATGTATCACTAGAAGAAATTTATCAGTATTAACACTGTACATACAAATAATCTATGGGTCACTTTTCTGGATCTTACCAAGAGTATACCAGGTTTACTTTTTCATATGTCACTTCTAAAGTCTACATTGTAAACCCAGAAATAGGATATTCTTAGTCTTTTCACTAAAAGGCAAATTTGATAATCTAATATATCCCAAAATTTTAAATCAAAGCAGAGAAAATTCTTATTCCTAGGACAAAATTAAATTAATAGAAAATGTTCTCCACATGTTATTTAGTGTTACAGTACAGCAACCAGTGATAACGTAAGCTTCTTACCATAAGGTTATCTATGAGCCGATTTTCTTGGGAGTGATTTCTTTCTCTTTGGATAACTAGAGAAAGGCTTGCAGTTTACAAAGAAATATTGAGTCTATATACTAACCTGGCCCAGTCCAGGCATACCTCCTCCAAGTCTAAGAAGTCTGTCCATATTTCTAGAAAACAGAAACAAAAGAAAACGTTCCTAAGCACAAAAGTGTTTACTCAATTGCTATCTATATAATTCACCTTCAGTCACTCAGTATGTCAAAAATATTGGTGGTAATTACAACACAACATCAGACTTCCTGTTAATTAACACCACATATTAATTCAAGAAGCTGTCTTCCATGCTAATTAACAGACCTTATTTTACTGCTTTGGTTTTGGGTTATCCCCAGTTTTAAAGACAAGCAATCTTAGCATACTTTCAAAACTTTGCTATCATTTAGTTAATTATATTTTCTTATTGTTATCTAATAAAGTACCTGAATGAGGAAAAATTGCCTGAAATGCTAATCATATGTGATTGAATTTCATTCAATTTGTCCAGAGTGTACAAATAAAAATCCTCACTTTTAAATTAAATTTTAACATCCTCATTAGTAAGTTCTGTGCTAATTAACTTACAGCTTGTCAGTTATCATCAAAACTACATGTGAAAGACATTGTGAGCAGATTATGGATCTCTGAATTAGCATCAAAGGCTTTTAAAAAATGAACTCATTATACTAAAAGAAATATTATAAACATTAAATACATTAAGATAGTGTCCTAGAACCTACACAAATATTTTGTGTTATTTCAGATGTTGAGAAGATATACACCTTTTTCACTAAGGAAATTCAGCTGCAGTTCTCAATTATAATTTTAGAGTTAATACAGAGAGGATTAACTTTGAAATATCAATCTGATTCTTTTTTTTATGCCAGGAATAACTACAGAAGACATTCTTATAAGCCTGAAAAATTCACAGAAGAAATCTAAGGCAAGAAATAATCGAAGGTAATAATATGGCCTCAAATACACAGAAGAGTAATCCAATTATAAAAATTAATATTTAGTACAGCTAAATACTTTAAACGTGAGAATGAAACATTGTTTTCTACTTGCTACTATGTCTTAAAAGTCCTCTTCTTCCTAAGTATATGCTTTAGAAAATGGTATTAGTACAAATATATTCTAAGTTAAATGCTAAGAGTTTAGTTTAGTCATTTGTCCATGTTGTTTTAGTTAGAACTGCTATACAAACTAAAATTCAATAATATACTTATGATCATTACAGTGTAATCATGTTTGCTGAATCCTGCTTACAATTTAATGCTGCAGTGTTAACATTGCAAACTTTATTCAAGACCACATACAAAAGAGTACACAAACGATACAGGCATGAAATCTTCACAAAGTGAACAAATCCCCATAAGCACCACCTAAATGAAGGAACAAATAGTTAGCACCTAAGAACATCTTTCATGCCCCCTTCCCAGTCTCTACCACCCACAAAGGTAGAATTCTAACTTCTAACAGCATACATTAGTTCTGCTGTTTTGAATTTATATCAATGAAATCACACACTTTTGTATCTGGCTTTCGCTCAACAAGTTTGGGAGATTCCCAACAGATAAACTCATTTAAAAAAATGAAAAGGTACGTAAGAAAACCTGATAGGCCACACAAAATTTCTGTTTAATAGCCTTACCTCATACTTCTAATAGCAACATTTACATATAAAATCTCCATCAAATTCTCATTAAAATTCCTCAACTCAAATACAGCATTCAATACATAGCACTTTTTAAAGGCTGTAGACAGAAAAAAAAAACCTTGTATATTTTAAATATTAAAGACATTTCTCTAGAATATATTAGCAATGGAAAATTTTTTCTTTTGGACCATTTCAAGCTTACAAACTTAAAAAACAAATGGAAAAAAACCCTAACAACATACAGAACACTTTAGACATTATATATATTCCAGGCCAAAGTCAATTCCCAGCTGTGTTCAGTTTATCTATTCCCCCTGTGTTGTTTCTGATGACTTTACACAGACTCCAGATGCTGTGAATATATATGAGCGATGTGGGGAGCAGAGGGAAAGAAAATCTGGCAGGTCAAATTTGTGTTTTTAGCAAAATTAGATGTCTCAGCAAACAGGAAAAAATATTTAACAAACTAAAACATTTAAGATAAGATAACCAGATTTAATAAAAATAGTAACATTTGGAAATGAAATATATTGATAAATGTTCTAAATTTATCACTACCTTTTTTTTGTTTACAAAAAGCAAACAAGAACTAAAATGATAGTTATCTCAATAACTATCATGAGCCTTAAAATCTGGTTATCTGATTTACAATTTGATATGTTAAAAATGATACATTTTCATAAGATATTTAAATCACCTCCTGAAAGAATAGGTAAGAGTAAAATACATTCTTAATTCTCACCTGGTCAGTAACTACAACTCCTGTGGTGTTAAGCTTCAATTTGTTGATAATAATGGCAAGTATGATTCTTCTCAAGTATTTTTTTCTCTCTTTCCTATAAAAAGTAAATAAAATCAGATATAATCATGTTGAGAACTGAGGAAGAAAATATGCCAACAGCTTTAAAAGAAGCAAAATTCCTAAAAACAGAAATCGAAATTGATTTTTAATCACCATTTCTAGAGGATATAGAATGAAATAGCATCCCAGAGAGCTACAGAACATAGTGATTAATCCTATATCCAAATTTTGTTTTTAAGTTTCTTTTTTTGAGTTCTAATTATATGTAAACATTGATATTTCATGACTTTTAAGTCTTTCTAGAGCTGTTTCAAAGAAAAGTACTCATATTTTTAAATAGAACAAAATTCATTGTGCAATTACCAAATAGGCCCATTGCAACATTATTACAAATCTGTAATGTTATGGAATCTTAGTGACGTTTTTGTCCTATGTCTTGAAAGATTGCTGTTTTGTCATCCTAGGAATTAGTTCATCATTTCTTAATTATTCCCAACTATACCAAAAAAGACTAAAATACAAAAATGGAAGAATAACAATCATCCAAAATGATGCAACAGTGAAAAATACATTGCAGCTATTGTATCATTTTTCAGTTTTTATTGTGCTGCCAACAGCATTGCTTCGTCTTTCAAAAAGATATAAAAGACTAGAGACATCATCTTTGTAGTCTTCTTTTAGCTTTCATTGAACACAGTCGAGAATTCAGAATTGTCCATATTCTACCAATAATGGCAAAGAGAGAAGAACTGACAGAAGGGAAAAAAAGTTTCACTATTAGAGAATCACAAGGTGAATATAAAGAAAGAACTCTAGTCTCTAATAATGACAATAAAATTGATGGTACAAGTCAGTTTTTTCGGCACTACTGACATTCATAACTAAAAAACTTTTTTGTTGTAGGGGGCTGTTTTGTGCATTATAGGATGTTTAGCAGCATCCCTAGCCTCTACTCACTAGATGCCAGTCAGTGGCACCCAGCCAGCCATGACAATCAAAAATATCTCCAGACATTGCCAAATGTCCCCTTGAAAGGGCAAAATCACCCCCAGTTGAGAAAAACTGATTTATAAGCAAAATCTCAGATTATGCATCTTTAGATGACAATATCCTAGATTCATTCTTTCTAACTTAAGAACCAATGAATGCTGGAAACAGTTCAACATAGAATTACCGCGTGACCTAAAAATCCACTCCTAAGTATACACCTCCCAAAATTAAAAACAAGTATTCAAAACATGAACATGTACATGCATGTTTATAGCATCACTATTCACAACAGCCAAACAGAAGAAACAAATGTCCATCAAAGGATAAAAAAATAAATTCTAGTACTGTATAGTCAAACAATGGAACATATGGAATATTATTCAGCTATAAAAAGGAATGAAGTACTGACACATGTTAAAATGTCAATAAATTTCAAAACATTATGCTATGTGAAAGAAGCCATGCACAAAAGGTCATATATGAATTCCATTTACATAAAATATCCAAAATACATAAATCCAAAGAGATAGAATGCAGATTTGTGATTGCCAGGAGCTTGGAGGCAGGGGAAGTAAAATGGAAAAACTGCTTATTGGGTAAAACATTTTATTTTAGAATAATAGCAATGCTTTGGAAGTAGACAGAAGTAGTAGATAGAAGTAGTAGCTGCACAGCTGTACTAAATGACAGTGAACTGTTCGCTGTAAAACAGTTAATTTTATGTTATGTAAATTTTGTGAATATACTAAATGACAGTGAACTGTTCACTGTAAAAGTTAATTTTATGTTATGTAAATTTTGTCTCCATAAAGTATTTCTTGAAAGGATCAGTGAGTGAACAACAATATATTTCTAAGAGCAAAAAAGAAATATGACATTCTCATCCAGTCAGGTATTCAACAGGACTTCATCACACACTATTTTACAAACTCTTTTGCTAAAGAGATATGTCATATTCTTTTATCTTTTATTATGTTGATACAGTTCATATGTGAAAAAATGCTGAAGTGTAACGCAAAGGTGAGTAAAGGAAATAATGTAGAAATGAAAAAACTTCATGGACTAACTCTAACTGGTGTTTATAAATCTAAAATAAAAATGTTTTACAAGCAAAGATGATGACCATCCTCACTTCAACAAAATTATGAGCTGTCAATGTTTTAAAAGTATTGCAATTGGGTAGTGAAAAAATTCTGGATATGGATGGTGGTGATGTTTGTACAATGCAAACATACTTAATGCCACTGAACTGTACATCTAAAAATGATTAAAATGATAAATGTTAGGTTATGTTTATTTTAACACACATATACGTTCCATGTATTACAAGTGCAAGAAGAACCAGAAGAAATAATAAGCTAGGGCCTATTAGAGATGTATTTAAAAAGTGGAGCTGATCTTTACAAGATAAACATGATCCAGTTTACGCATGATGGATGATGAGCAGTTAATTACATACAAAGGATGTTGTCTATTTCAGGTACACATACCTTCCAAACCAGGAAAATACAAAATAAAAATCTGTATAAAATTTTTCTAAAATTTTTACTTCTGTAAATTATTCATAAAATGACTTAACGGTGTAAGAAGTGCAAAAAGGTCCACTGGACCGAGATGGTAAATGGTGATGACTATTTTTCTTGGTATATGAGGGTTCAGAGCTATGACTGCAGTCTGAGTACCAATATTCAAATTCTGGCTCTGACATTTATTAGCTCTGTGTCCTTGGGTCAGCCACTTCTCTCACTCTGTTTCCTCACCTGCAAAATGGAAATAATGACAGCATCCACCTCATAGAGTTGTTTTGAAGATTAAACAATGGACATAAACAATACTTACACCATGTCTGGCATACAGAAACAATGAATGCTAGCTGCTGTTATCAGCACAAGCATCCCACAGCACCAGTATATCTACAGTACCTCCTACACAGTTCCTTCTTTCCACAAGGTTTGCCACTTAGTGAGTTTCAAAACACGGGCCATATTTTACAGTAATAAGTGAATCGCAATGGAGAGGAGGGACTTGCATTTTGCAGAATTTAACAAAGGGGTTCATAAAATTAGAATGTTACACTATAACATAAAAGAGAATACTTCCAATTCTTAGAAAGAAGCAATACAAAAGGTCTATGGAGCTAAACCAAGTTTCTATACCTATCAAAAAGTTGAGGACTCAGGGGTCGTTCATGATATGATTAACTTTACTTAAAAGATTATCAGATAATATGAATAAAGTGTTTATATGTAATATGTCATGCATACAGAAATGTATCCTAATTAGTAAAAACAGTACAAAATAAGAATCAGTACTTTCAAAAGGTTAATGATTTTCCACTTTTTCATCTCCCAAATTAATATCTGAATAGAACCTGACATAGATTGTGTTCATGCTAGAATTAAAATATTTACAGGAAATTTATGAAACTATAAATAACCCTAAAACAACAGATCTTTCAAAATTATCTTAATCTGAATTCAGAATGTGACAATTTTTTTAACTTTTCAACTATTGGTATCCCAATGATTTATAAAATTCAAATAAAATCAAGAAGCCCTTAGCTGTTTGGGTTTATCATTCTGTTTCTTAGTTCGCTTTTCATTTTTCATTCCCCTGTCCATATTGCAGTTAAATACTATTACTTCTCAGACTGATGCTAAATCTTATTTAAACTACTCCATATTTGTGATTTCACTGGATTTCTAATTCCTCTACTCTGATTTGTGGAAAGTAATTAGGAACTTTTTTCATATTCTTAAGGGCTTTCTTCAGCATAAGAAATACAGAGTCAACATTAAACTTAATTATATAAACAGGATTTTGCAAGCAAGATTTTCCCTAGTTTAAAATAGTAAGGACAGAATTATCATAAGTATTTCTTGTGGTGGCTCCTAACTACAGCATTCAAGTAAAACATTTATTAAGTACTACCTTCTGTATAAAGTGATACAGAAATAAAGCCAGTAAGAAACTTAGTGGCTCACACTGAAAGAATTTACAATCTTCCTGGGAAGGCATTATACAAACTCATGAAAAATACATAAAGCAAAAGGACAGCAATGTAGAGCTGGAAAGGCTCGGGAGCCAATCAGATCCAGATTTGAATCCTGGTTTCAAAACCTACTTGGCTAAACGATCTGGAACAAGTTACCTTCTTCTATACTCTAAACTTCATCTATAAAATGGAGACAATACCTATCTTGCAAGTCTGTTGTAAGAATAAATACAAAGCACCTAATAAGTACCTGGGATATGCAGTAAGTACTCAATAATTTTAGAGCTGGAAGAGATTACTGGATCCAATTCTCACATGGGGACACCAAAATATCATAAAACAATATGAATGTCAAATGAGTGCAACGAATAGAGTATATGACAAGTTCATGAGTAAGAAATCACGAGTATTCGGGTAAAGCTTTCACAGGTGAACACTGATTTATGAAACAAACATTGCTATAAAACTGAAAACAAATAAAAGCACAATTGTTTCTTGTTACTGATTTGCAGACATGGGTTCTGAACTTAGATACTAAACACACGGTTTACATGACAAAAAAATAGGATGAACCCATGTCATAGAGGTTAAAAACACAACCTTTCAACTGGGACAGCAATATATTATTTTCTAAGCACCTGACAGGGGGAAATCTTCCAAAATCAACAGGTGAGGCTTCATTAAAAGATCATGACTTCAAAACCTCCTTCTGATGGCCAGATGTAATTTTGTTCTGAGACAAATTAAAGACAATATTCAGGTTTTTCACTAAATACCACTTCACTAAACACATCTTAACTGTAGTTAATTCTGAGCCACTATGTATCTTAATCTCTTCAAATGCACAATAACCCATACAATTTGTTTGAAACATGTATAATTAAACTTCCATGGTTGGTAGGCTTACACGACACAAGGTCACCATTATGTTAATTATCTCCACTAAAATTGTATTCAGCTCTTTTTTGTTATTTCAACATTACCAGTGACTGTCTTGTAACTTTACTCATAAACACTGTCAGTAGTATTAAAAACATACTTTTGTGAGCAGTGAAAAAAATCATTTTCACCCTAGAATTATATTTCTATGCTAATTTTTAAAGCCTCTTTGCCATCTTTCTCACGAAAATCTTTATCAACTTTTGGTACGATCTTAATTTCAAGAATTTTTCATTCAGTCACTAGATTTATAGTCAGACGCTTTCGAAAAGTTTACGTTTTTCTTAGTTTGACAGAAGCTAAGTAATGTCACCAACGAAATTTAGTTCCAAGTGGTAACACACAGTAGCGGACTTCTACTTTACTGAAAACAGGAAATGTAATCAATTCACCAACAATAATTCAATTAGGATAAACTGAAAGTAAGTTAAAAGGCATTGCAGGAATAACTACACTTTGTTTTGAAGATGTTCAAGATTAAAAACCAGTGAATCTCTGGGGGTTTTATTTGTTTTCTGGAGTTGAAAACCTAACACCAAGAGAAAAAGGGTCAAGGCCTATGGGAAGAACAAGTGAAGAACAAGTAATAAAGAAAACATGCGTTTAGTGAGAAACTCAACTGAGCGCAAATAGAATCCATAAACACCGGTTATCCCTATGCAGGAAGGGATTGGTTACCAAGATGTGAATTCAGCATAGCTGGAGACCACATCTAGACCTAACTCTGCCAGAAACCCGAGTAGCCGGAGAAAAGGACGAAGGAGCCTGAGCTCCTCCCTTAGGGCCCGGGCCTCCAGTGACAACTCGGCTGGGCAACGTGACTCAGGAAAGCACGGGGCTGACAGCGGCCTAGCGCGGCTTTCTCCGCGGACCTCCGGGGCCTGCCTTCCGCGTCTTACCTGCGGACGGTCGGGACCGGAGGCCGCGGTCTGGACCCTTGTCTTCCAGCTGCGGTGACGCGGCGACGGCGGTGGCGGCACGGTCTGAGGCTCGACCCTACTCTGGCTCCGCGAACCGGCGATGAATCAGCCCGATTCCATTCAAAAGAGTCGCCCGGGCCTCTGCCGCGAAGCACTTCCGGGTTCACTGCTCCGCTTCGGCTTCCGTTCCCCCGACGGCCAATTGGAGGCGACTCGAGAGTCGAGAGGGCGTCCCAGCAGGGGCGCAGAGAACAGACGGCGCTGGCCACCGGGATCTTCTTTCTCGGCTGGGAGTGGGCGGCGGGATAGTGCCTGGCCTGCCCCGGCTTCTCAAACATCCTCCTTTTTCTCCCCGCAGGCTCCTGCCCAGATCTAGGACACCGGCCTATCCAGCCCGAGAGGTGACTGCCTGGGAAACAAAACTTAAGGACTACCGAGATCAGAATCTCTTTCGTTCTGGTGTTTTACCGCGGCCTCACTCGAAAACTAAAAGGTTTACTTGAACTAAACTTAACTTGGTAATCTGAGAAGCAAAAGAGAAAAGGGAGGGGTGTGAAAAAAGGGGAAATCGGTCAGATGCTCTTTTCCGTAGCGCAGTCTTCCCACGGTCTTGTCTTTACCGCTTTGCAAGCATTGGATTTCAGAGAAAACCAACGTTTACCAAGTGTTAAAACCACCTGTTTTGAGCTCAGTTTAATTTACAGTGCTTAAGGAATCATTTGCTCTTGTTTCTCCATGTAATTTGCATGAACAAAGTTACATCCATCATCTGCTCTGCTAGGATTTAAGAGCAAAAGGGCCCAAGAAATGACTGACTTGGAAATTTATATCACACTTAGATGCAGTCTTTGTTTAGGGCAGTATGTTTACCAAGTCCCACTGACTTCGTCAAATAACATTGCAAATAATAAGCATTTAACACACAAACACACAAACTAATTTAAATAATGTCTTTAAAACATTCCTACACCAAGAATGGTGATGAATCTACTGGGTGGAGGGGAAGAAGAGATTCTAGCATCTGAATCCAAAGCTATTTGAGTGGTACAATTACACAGAATTTCTCTCTCAAAGTATTCCATCTCCATCTAAAAAGTATATAGATTATTTAATCATCAATAATAATTATATTTGGATCCTCGTCTTTATGTTTTCTCCCAAACCTCATTTACTTTTTTTTTTTTTTTTTTGGAGGAGGCGGGGAAGGTCAATGATCCCATCTTCAAGAAGTTTCCCTAATCATACCTGAGAGTAGACACTTCCCTCTTATTCAGCTGTTTCCACTGGCCTCCCAATTAATAATCCTGGAAATCATGAAGTGTCTCCTGTAAAATTGCTTTCCCAATCCACTACTCCCCTCTCTCCATTCTCTCTACTTCAACATTAACTCAGGCCTTCGTCACTTTTTCCCTAGAATGCTGTAATAATCTCCTTAATCCCCCTGCCTCCAGTCTTCCCCACTTCAATCCATTCTTCACTGGCAAAGATTTTTTTCTTCTATACAAACACAGTCATACCCCTATGCTTGAATTTCACCAGTGGCCCCCCCCATAAACATTAAATACGAAGATCAAAAATCATTCAGCTTTGTTTGGAACACCCTTGCTCAAGCTGAATCAAAGTATTTAGCTGGGTAATGAGATGTCCATAGAGACTTTAAAAAACTCTAACATGTTCCTGGAAATCTAAAAGGTAATCTTCATGCTTAGGGTTGTGTGCATGACTAGGGCTATGTGAATGCTCAGGAAAGACCTGAGAAGGCCCTAAGTTCTCACCCGGGGCTAACCTCGAGAAGCTATATAAGAAGTAAAGATCAAGGTTGAGTTGTAAATTCCCTAGCTGAGTGTTGAGGTCATGCGCCAACACACAAACTAAGACTCTCAGCAAAGACTAGGAGACTTACTAGTTAAAGACATTTACAGAAATGTGTCCAGTCAGCAGACCACTAAGCCAAATGAGCAAAGACTTCAGTGGTCACACATGACAAAGAATACAGACTTGAAGGAATTAATTCAGAAAAGTCACTAAACTAAGAACTACTACAAAAAACAAACAACAAAAATCCCGAGGAGAGTAGAATCTGATTTCCAGAGTTGCCACATTTTAGTATTAAAAATGTCCAGTTTTCAAAATAAAAAAATTTAAAAATATGATAACACAAACAAGGATGTAATGCCCATATACAGGAGTAAAAACTATCAAGAGAAACTATTCCTTATGAAGCCCATAAATAAGATATTTTAAATGTTCACAAAGCTAAAGGAATCCGTGTCTAAAAAACTAGAGAAAGTATAAGAATATTTCACCAAATACATAATATCAATAAAGAGACAAATAATTTTTAAAAATAAAAATTGTGGAGTTGAAATGTATAACAACTGAAGTGAAAAATTCCTTAGAAGGGCCGAACAAAGATTTGATTAGGTGCAAGAAAAAATTAGCAAATTTGAATATAGGTCAGTTGAGATTACACATTCTAGGGAACAAATCCAGGCATACTACTTTTTATTGCACTTTGCTTTATTGCACTTTGTAAATACTGCATTTTTTTTTACAAATTGAATATTTGTGGCAACCATATATTGAGCAAGTCTATCAGCACCATTTTTCCAACAGTATTTGCTCATTTCATGTCTCTGTCACATTTCAGTACTTCTCACAATATTTAACACTTTTTCATTATTACTATATTTGTTACGGTGATCTGTAATCAGTGATCTTTGATGTTACTATTGTAATTGTTTTGGGGCACCATGAACATTAAACATATCAACATTATCAGGAGTTTGGAAGTTGACTCCAACCCTTATGGATTACTTTGAGAGATTCAGGACTTCAGTGGAGGAAGTAACTACAGATGTCACAGAAATAGCGAAAAAACTAGAATTAGAAGTGGAGCATTAAGATGTGACTGAATTGCTGCAATCTTATGATAAAACTTTAATAGATGAGGAGTTGCTTGTTATGGATGAACAAAGAAAGTGGTTTCTTTTGATGGAATCTACTCCTGGTGAAGATGCTGTAAAGATTGTTGAAATGACAATAAAGGACTTACAATATTATATAAACTTAATTGATAAAGCAGCTGTAGAGTTTAAGAAGATTGGCTCCAATTTTCACAGAAGTTTTATAGTGGGCAAAATGCTATCTAACAGCATCCTATGCTACAGAGAAATCGTTCAAGAAAGGAAAAGTCAATTGGTGTGGCAAACTTCATTGTTGTCTTACTTTAAGAAATTTCTACAGCCATCTCAGCCTTCAGCAACCACTATCCTGATCAGTCAGCACCCAACAACATCAAGGCAAGACCATCCACCAGTAAAAAGATTATGACTCACTGAAGGCTCAAATGATGGTTAGTATTTTTTAACAATAAAGTCTTTTTAAATTAAGGTATACACATTACTTTTTCAGACATAATGCTGTTGCAACTTAATAGACTACAGTATGTGCTGTAGAACATATGTGCTGGGAAACCCCAAAAATTGTGTGATTCACTTTATTGAGATACTCACTTGACTGCACTGTTCTGGAACTAAACCCACAATATCTCCAAAGTATGCCTGAAAAAAAAAGAAAAAAGAAACATAAACAGCATGAGAAGGCTGTGGGACACAATCACACATACCAACATATGTATAATGAGAGTCTTAGAAGGAGAGGAGAAAGAGAAAAAGGCAGAAATAATATCTGAAAAATAAAACTTCCCAAATTTGATGAAAAGTAATCTACACATCCAAGAAGCTTAAAACTCCAAATGAGATTAACGCAAAGAAATCCACACCTGGACAGGGAATAACCAACCTCTTGAGAGCCTAAGACAGGGAGAGAATCTTGAAAATGTCAAGAGAAGCCACTCATCACATAATCCTCAATAAGATTTACAACCAAAGCTATGGAAGCAGAAAGCAGTGGGATGACATTCAAAAAGACTTTCAACCAAGAATTCTATATCCAGGAAAACTATTTTTAAAAAATGAAGGATAAATTAATACATTCCCAAAATGTCTGTATAAACAAATTAGCGAGAATTCATCACTAGGAAACTTGCCCTACAAGAAATCCTAAAGAGAGTCCTTCAGGCTCAAATGAAAGGAGATTACACAATAATTCCAATACATATGAAAAAATAAAGAACACTTGTAACTACATAAGTAAATATAAAAGACAATACAAATATATTTTTGTTTGTAATTCATTTTTTCTCTTACACGATTTAAACAAAATGCATAAAGCAATATTTATAAATCTGTTGATGAGGATTTTATGTATACAGATATAATTTGTATTATAATAACAGCATAAAGGAGGGGGATAAAATGAAGCTATATAGTAGTAAAGTTTTTGTATATTATTTAAAATAAATTGGTATTACTTTGAACTATATTGTTATAACTTGGTAATTGTAATCCCCAGAGCTATCACTAAGAAAATACTCAAAAAATATATAAACTAAAGCCAAAGGAATTAAAATGGTACACTACAAAATATGTACTTAACACAAAATGGAGGAATAGAAGAAAAAAAGATGCAGAACATTTAGAAAACAAATAGTAAAATGGCAGATGTAAATACTACCTTATCAATAATACATTAAGTGTAAAAATTAAACATTCCAAGTAAAAGGCAGCAATTATCAGAATGGATTTAAAAAAAGATCCAACTTTGCAGTCCAAAAGAGACACAATTTAGATTCAATGATCCAAATATATTGAAACTAAGAGGATGAAAAAATATATATCATACAAACAGTAATTAAAGGATTTAACTTTGGACATTGTTCTGGCATTCTTTAATCAAGTTAAAAATACAATCACCATTTGACCTAACAAGGTAAATATATCCATTTGATATATTTACCAAAAACAAATAAAAACATATGTTTGCACCAAGCCTTGAACATGATAGTTTATAATAATTTTATTAATAATAGCTCTAAACTGGAAATAATCTAAATGTTTCTCACCCGATAAATGGATAAAGCATGGTATTTCCTAACAATGCAATAATACTTAGCAATCAAAAATAAAACTACTGATATATGCAACAGTATGGATGGACTTTCAAAAACATCATGCTGAGGAAAAGATATGAGACACAAAAGACTACAAACTGTATAATACCATTTTAATGAAACTAAACAAAGGAAATCAAACACATAGTGA